TTTAATGCAATTCCGGTGGGATTTTTTTAACTTAACAAAATGATTCTAGAGTTCATCTCAAAGCACCAATAGGCAAGAATAGCAAATAATATTTTAAAATGTATTAAAGCATTATCGCACTATAGTACTAGTAGTACAAGAATAAATGTATCAATACAGCCAAATAGATAGTCCAGAGAAAATAATTGTTATATATAAGAATTTAAAATAATGTAAAGTAAGCTAACAGCTCAATGGAGAATGAAAGTTCTATTTAAAAAATCATGTTAGAACAATTGTTAGCTATTTGGATGCAAAATCAATTTAGATCTTTCTTCACATTAATATTCCAAATGGAATTAAGGAGTTAAATGTAAACTAACCAAACCATAAATTTAAAACAAAAACTGAAATTAAGTTTTATGACATCTCTGGAGGTGGAAGGACTTTCTAAGCTGGGAAGCGAAAAAAGAAATCAAAACACAAAATGAGTGACAGATCTGTGCATGTCCAAAAAAAAAAAAAGGAATGTCAAACACCAAACTGAGAAATGATACCTGCAACAAACACAACAGATCAAGGATTAATATGCAAAAACTCACAATGTGTTTAAGAAAAGCAGTTAAATGTGCAAAGTACACAAAGAACCAATTCATGAGCAAGGAAATACAACAGCTTAACAACCACAAAGAGACATCCATCACTAATCAAAAAAAGTATAAAATAAAGAGTGAGATACCATATATCAAGGAGAATTTGTTTTTACACAAGAATACCCATTGCTAGGGAGGGTGTGGTGAAATGGATACTCTCGTGCATTATTGATGAGCATATAAATTAGAATAACCATTTAGAAAAAAATGGTGCTCCTATGAACACTAACAATCCTAAGCTGTTCATGTTTTCTGACCTCAAAATTCCACATCTGGAAATTTATGATAAGGAAATAATCATAATCATAAATACAAGGAAAACTTTAGTGAAATATGAATCATGATGGAATTTATATAATAGCAAAAAATGGAATGATTCGCATGTCTAAAGACAGGTGACTGATTAAGGAAAATATGGTACATTCAATGTCTCTACTGTCATGTAATCATTAAGAATAATGCTTTAAATCCATTTGTAATAACATATATGAGTGGGGTTTTTTTCATGTGAAATGGAAAACGTAGCAGAATACAATGTTGTAAGAGCCCATGTGTGCCTACAGAACAATGCATTTTATTAAAATGTAGAAGAAAATCCACTTAATTTTCAATAGTTGCCTTTAGGTTATAAAACGATGGATGATTTTTCCCTCATGTCCATTATCTATATTTTTCAACTTTTCTATAATGAATAGATATCACTTAGAAGGAATTATTTTTATTTTTCAGTTTTCTATAATGAATAGGTATTACTTATAAGGAACTATTTTTATTTTTCAATTTTTCTATAATGAATAGGTCTTACTTATAAGGATCTATTTTTATTTTTAAATTTTTCTATAACGACTAGGCATTACTTATAAGGAACTATTTTTAAATAGACTTATACAATGCTCTAGATATACTTAGAAAAATTATTTGGAAGAATAACTTCTCATTTTCAATGAAGATGAGCAATCCTATAAATGGAAAACTTTAGTGCTTTTAGAATGAGTTTCAGATTTCTAAAAGTGAACAGAGGAAAATTTTCAAAGGCCCTATCTAAACGCTATGATTAGAGGGTTCCCAACTGGGGAAAGAAGCAAGTTTAGTTTGAAAGAAGGAGCCCTGGTGGCACAATGGTTAAGTGCTTGGCTGCTAACGGAAAGGTTGGCAGTTCGAACCCACCCAATGGCTCTATGGGAAGAAGACTTGGCAATCCGCTCCTGTAAAGATTACAGCCTAGAAAACCCTACGGGGCAGTTCTACTCTGTCACATGGAATCGCTATGAGTCGGAATCAACTCAACAGCACCCAAACCACGACAATAGTTTGAAAGGCATACACAGTGTGTTGTTTCTGCAATAAAAAGACAGAAACTAAAGCTCAACAAAACCTTCTTGGATAATGGAAACAAAAGATTGAATGAAAACCCATTCTGTGTGAATCCTACAGTCAGTGTATGTTTGTTGACTATATCTTGTTGGACATGTGTATGGTACCATTTACATTTTTATTTCAACTCATATCATAAACATAAGAGTTTTGTTTTACAATGAGTATGTGGTTTATTTCAAATTAAAAATGGATTTCTTTGTTATTACAGTATAGTACCAAAAAGGGGGCATGAAATATTTATGTTTATCAAAAGGGACCCTGGAATATATGCCACTAAATAAATATTCCATATCCAACAAGGTAAAATTAAAAAAAAAAAAGTAGGGGAGGGACCCCGGGCTCAAAAAGGTTGAGAAACTCTGATAAAAGGCAATGTATCCTTGTATCACAGCAGAGTCTGACAACCCGGCTATCACTCTAACAGTCCCATAAGACTTGGAGGCTGCTGTGTACCAATCAAAGGACATATTCGCGGGACTCTCAATTTGCTTACTAACTCAGATTTCTGCTCCTTCGTAGGAGGTTTTCATGGAAAGCTAAGCATCATTAAAAAAATGCATTTATGCAAGATTCACTTTGGGTGAAAGCTAAATGTTTGAAAATTTCCCACCTGTCTAAATTAATTCCTTATGTGGCCTTGACTTACATGGACAAAAGGCTACAGTTCCATATTTTACTTACAGCAATCTTATGCAGAAGATAGGGCATGCATTACTATTCCTGTTTTATAAATATGGAAACCAAGGCACCGAGAAGTTCAGTGACTTCCTAAGGGCCTGCATCCTGGACGCTTGACATCAGTCCAAAGCTCTTTGCAGTAAAGAACAGAATTTGCCTTGACAGTTGATTAATTCCTCCATTCAAAAATATTTACTGAGCATCTACTATGTGCCAGGTTGTGTTCCTAGGGCTGGAGATAGAGCAGTGACCACTACAATGTCCCCTCCCTTGTAGAGATTACATTTTAGCAGGAGAGCCCAGCAATAAATAAGTAAATAAACAAATATCAGAGAGTTTTAAGCTCCTTGAAAAACAATAAAGAGATAGAATGCAACAGGAACAGAGAGAGGACATTCATTTTAGATAAGGCAGTCAAAGTAGTCTTCTCTGAGGGATGAGACAGTTGAACAAATACATGAATCGAATGTATTTCTGGCAGAAGGGACAAAAAGCACAAAGACCCTACGAGGGAAGCCTGCTTGGCGTCTTTGAGAAATAGCAAGGAGGTCAATGTGGCTGAAGCCTTAGGTGAGTCTTGCCACACACTGTCCCCTGTTCTCCCTCCCCTACCCAGGCTTCTTTTGTACCTTCTTTTTGTACCTCTGGGTTCTGGCCCATCATCTCCTTTGTCAGCTTTTCTAAAGCAACCCCTTCCACCACCTGCTCACTCTTCCACCTCCTTTTGATAAGAAAAGAACCAGAAAACACCAGTTGGCTTTCAGTGGCCTTCCCTAGTTTCCAATTGGGGAAGACAATAATATAAGCAAAACATAAAGATCTGAGCCCAAGAGATTCAATAGCTTCCACATATTTCCCTTGAAGCCTTTACCATAAATTGATTTAGCATGCCAGAGAGTGAGGGTATTCCAGTTAACTTGAGAGCTGCCACAATCATGGATTGCCCCTTTTAAAAAGCCAACATACAAATGAAAATCCTCTAACACCAGCCTCGGTGTAATCTTTCTTCACTGACCCAGAAGGTACTTCAAAATCTTGCAGTCTATCATTAGGCACTAAACCAAGCATTTTTCCTCATTTTTTTCTGCCTAGGAACTACTGTGCAGGGCTGGTATTTTCATGGGTGCTTTTATCCTGTTGCTGAAAAGTGCTTGGGCTATGTCCTTCCCTAGAAATGCTCCCCTCCCCAGAATACTAAAAGAAATCAAGAAATCAAACTGAAAAGAGAAGGTAATAATAATAATACTAGCTTACACATATTGAACATTTACTATGTGTCAGCTCCAGTGCTAAGTTTTTTATGTGCATTACGGCATTTAATCCTCACAATCCTATGAGGTAGGTAGGAATATTATACCCATTTTATGGGTGACAAAACAAAGGGACTGAGAGGTTAACTTGCCAGAGGTCACAAGCCTAGCATCTGACTAGCACAGGATTAGATCTCAGCTCTGCCTGACTCTGGAGCCCTAGGGAAACGATGAAGGTGCATCTGATTTAAAATGGCAATTTAGCCTGACACATGCCTAAACAAAGGGCAAGGTTGAATTATAACAAGAGTGTGTTCCCTCTGTGCCCTTTATGACTGTTGTAAGTCCTGGCTTTTTTCAAAAGGGGTCCTCGTTCTGAAACCGCCAGCCCCCACACAATTCATCTAAAGGAAGCTAAATAAGCAGATCCAGAGAGGCAGTTTTATTCACAACCATTCTCCTCTGGCAACTCCAACCTAAGTGGCATTGCATTCTCAAAGTAATGGACTCAGTTTTTGAGTCTTTCTCCTCTCCTTGAATTCAACGGTCTTCCTTTGGGATTACGCCTCCAAAATCGTTTAAAGAGAGCTAGCTGAAGAGAGACCTTTCCTTCTCTTGGGAGCTGGTGGCCCCAAATCTGGCCAAGCCACCATTCCAGGGCTCCACCTTGCTGACCTCTAACTTGAAGGCAAAGCAGAAGCCGGGAGCCTGGATCTTTTTTGGAGCAACGGTAAATTCTAGGCGGTGTTTCCCCCACCTAAAATGACATTCTCTGCAGCTGCCCCAAAAAGGCCCTGGTGAAGTCCTTCTGGAGTAGAGGGAGCCCAGAACGCAAAATCCCCAGTGAGCTGCCTAGGCCAAAATGTGGTCCACCACGGCCCCAGGTTGGGCCAGAAGAAGCCCTCGGGCCCGTTGATGGAGCAGAGAAGGAGGCCTCTGGGAGCTCCGCCCGCCCTTGCCCCGTCCACTGCCATCGCCAACCCCACCCACAGCCTGCGCCCTCGGCAGGCCGAAGGCTGACTGCTGCAGGCCTGGTCCTGAGCCCCCGCGGAGACGTACTCACAGCACACACAGGCAGTACACGCCCGGGACACTCTCACTGTCCCTCAGCAAATAGCTACCATCCAGACCAGTGGCGAGCAGGAGCTTTTCCCCGGTCTCTCGGCTGATTTTGCCATGATACACAGTCACCGCCTCCATGGCCTGGTGGACTCTTGGGCAGGCCAAGGCAGGGGAAGGCAGAAGGCAGATGCCACCGCGTCTGCGGCCAGGCACTAGTCAGCCACCTGGATCCCAGTTCAGCCAGATGTGCGAAAAAGAGAAAGAAGCACCCGAACAACAGGATGTTGTTGACGTGCCGTAAAACCTCCTTCTCACACTTCAAGTAAGACCAGCTCAGCAATTTAGCAGCTTGGTTATTGCCACCAGGTTCACCTCCCCTCCCCACACCCTAATCATATGGAGAGGGAAAGAAAGTCTTGGCAAGAAGATTTGAGCTGCACTACCAATGCAGACACTTGCACACAGACAGGAATGCTAAGCAGAGCTTCTGTTCTTGCAGTTTTCTCAGGGACCACAGTGGATGACTCAGCTTAACTAGCCCCCAAAGGGGTGCATGATAGAGGCAAATTGAATATGGCCTTCATGTGGGGCAGTAACATACTGACAGAGACTGGAAGGACTAAAAGCTCTGAGATCAAAACACCAAAACTATGGGTATTATTACTGAACATGGCCATGAGGCTCCTACACAATGAGAGGTAGTAGGTGAACAGTGGACATTGGGTAAACTGTTCATCTTCCTCCTCCTCCTCCCTCATGTAGCCATCTTGAGCAATCTTAGACCTGAGCAAATATTGATGTTTTCCTGCCATCTAGTCCAAGATCCCATAGTGCTGGCTGAGGTACAAAAATCACAGTCTATGTCCAAAGATGTTCCAGATTTATCTGTTTGATGGACCATAGATGAGAGAATGAATCAGCTAGTTGGTACTTTGCCTTTATGTGGACATGTATGTGTCCTTTGATGTATAGGACCCGCCTTCAGCACTTGGGGCATAAAACCTGTTTTAAATCATTTTGCAAGTGTTGACAATCGTGCTGTAACTTTTGTTCTCTGTTGTCTCTAGAGAATATGTTTTTTCTTCAAACGATGCTAAACTGTCTCTAATTTTTTAAAATTTCAACCTCATTTCCTTCTCAAAATGCACTGTTAAGTAATAGTTCCCAAAAACATCCTCTGTTTTCACTAGAATAAGACTTTGTTTAATGCCTACAGCTGAATGATCTTATACATGTACCTTTAGGTCATGTAAAATACTTTTATAATCAGAATTTAAATAATCTGTTGTATACCTTCCACAACTTTGATGCCTAGTTCTTTGAGAATATGGCAAGACGGGGAGCTCTGTAGGAAGAATGATTTTTCATTCCTCGCATTGTCTTACCAATGGATCAGATGCATAGCTGCCTCATGCCACTAACAGATATTTGCTCCCTACCCAAAATGCTTAAGAACAAACGATCCTCTAAGATTGAAGAGGCAACTAGTAGCAACTCTCCTTGATTGAAGAGTGTCTAGTCTTAATAGTAATTAATGTAGAATCTATCAACCTTAGTGTTGAACCTAAAGTGTTTATGTAAACATAAGCCTCCTGCCGTCATTTTCAACACCAAGAATTTAAAAAAAAAAAAAAAGCTGCATTCAAGATGACATTTGGGGAAGGCTCTTGGGAACTAGGCAAAGGTTGTCTCATCATCCTCCTACCTCACTTGTTTTTGTCCAACTCCACCTCTCACCCTTTTTCATGCTTTGGGTCAAGGAAGGAACTCATCTGAGAAGTGAATGTATACTCCAACGTTAAGGATTTGAGAAGTTAGCCCACCCTGGACTCTTTGTATTCTGAGAGGGTAAATGGTTAAACCCAGAGAAATTAATCACAATGGTGGAATTTCAAATGTGAAAAGAGAAGATAGGGAAGGGGATCCCCTCATATCAGACTGTATGGGCAACAGCCTACCTGTAAGGTGAACTGTAAGAACACTCAGTATCACAAAGGTAAGAACAAAACCTAACCTTTTTCGTCTCTGAACAACCCTAAACGAATCATCCACAAACTTAGGAACAGAGCAACCTAGATCTGACAGCAAAAGTGTACCCCACATTCTTTTTTTCTTTCACTGTTTTGTTCTGTGTTGCTAAAATAGCACACCTGTCAAAGCAGCCAGGTCCGATGGGGTTCAGCACAACCAAGATCGTATAAAAAAAGAACAGAGAAATTATAAGGTAATAGTACAACTCTCACATCCAGTGCCTCGTTGTCACCTTCCAAGCAAGCTGACAGCCGAGCCAGCCCACTACTGCAGTGTTGATGAAAAATACTGACATCTTCACTCTAGTGCTACACCAAACCTGACTTCAGCAAATTCAGAACTTCACACTGAGCTTGAAACGTAGAGAAAAGAGGAATGGAAATGGTTCTCTTCCTCCTCTGTCTCCATACCCACAAGAAAGGAGAGGGGGGAAAAATGAGAGACAGGAGCCATGGATGGTGGAGACTCCAATTGAAAAAGAGTTGATTAGGATTCTGCCTACTTGGAAGAGAATTAGTTGATTAATTGCTTATTGTCTGTCTCTCTCACCAGAATGTAAGGTCGATGACAGCAGGGCTTTGTGGGCTTTCCTCACCACTGTATCGCCGGGACCTGGTGCAGGTCGTTGGTGGTGGTGGTGGACATCTGTCAATAATATTTGTTGAATGAATGAAATTAATGCTCTCAAGAAAATAAAAGGAAAAATTACTGAAATGCTATTTTATGCACACATACACACAAACACACACCAAACCAAGCCTGTTGCCATCGAGTGGATTCCAACTCATAGAGACCCTACAGGACAGAGTAGAACTGCCCTATAGGATTTCCAAGGCTGTAATGTTTATGGGAGCAGATCGGCAGGTCTTTTCTCCCACGGAGTGGCACGTGGGTTCAAACTGCCAACCTTTTCGTTAGCAGCCGAGTGCTTAACCACTGTGCTACCAGGGCTCCCTACAAACACACACACAGGCACATTTAGTTCTACATGCCTTCTGCCCACCTTTGAAACAGCAAGATTAATTGGAACAAGCACTAGTCCGGTAATTATGACAGTCAAATTATACTCCTTGTCTTGCCACTAAATCACTTCCTTTCACTGAGCCTCATTTTCCACATCTGTAAAATGGAGTTGAACCAGATGACCCCTCGGGTCATTTCCAGCTTAACATTCTGTGCTTTAAAGGAAAGCCAAACGTGCTTTATAGAGAAACAGAGGGAAAATGTACTGTACTCGCTTGTGTGCAAGAAGCAAGGGCTGTTTCCTCAAGTCTCACCCAATAGGGGAGAGATTTTTGTTCTTCTTGTTTTCAAATAAACTAAGAAATAAAAAACCATGCCGTGGAGGAAGACAGCGTCACGGTTTAAAGCAAACTACAACCTTTTAGAATATAGTTGCCACTTAAATAAAAGAGAAAAGCATTGAAGTTAGAAAAACTGTCAGCCAAGGTTGAAAGTACCTTGTATCCAAACTTTTTACCTCCTGAGGTCTATGGGAAGTGACAAGATTTTGCATGTGGATGTCCTGTCTGAGGTGCTAATTGTCTTCATTTCAAATGCCATAGGCTATTCTCAAACCAGGTAGATTAAAGGGATGATGCCAAGGGTGGGGAGGGGGGTCAGCTTTATAGAGTGGATCTGACTTTTCAAAAAATCTTTTTCTCTAACCTTTCGAAACTAACTTTGTTCTCCAACTAGCTCTTCTATAGGTGTGAATTCTCCTGAGACAGTGTTATGATGTTGCCACTTGTGGTGAGTTTACACATTCTCTCAGCACTCACTAAGATTCACTTCCTTTACAAAAATTCGAAAAGAAAAAATTAAATCGTCTTTGAATGAAAAAGAGCATCTCCTTTTGATAATATTCGGGTTGGCTAGTTTTTCAAAAACTGTATTGTAAGTGAGAAGCCAGAGATAGAGTTCTTGCGTGCTTTGATTTAAGCTTGTTTAAATGTATTTCTTCTTTCAAGAGACATTTACAAGCCCTGGTTGCACAGCGGTTGAGAGCGACAGCTGCTAACCAAGAGGTCGGCAGTTCGAATCCACTAGCTGCTCCTTGGAAACCCTATGGGGCAGTTCTACTCTGTCCTCTAGGGTCACTATGAGTCAGAATCAACTCGACAACAACGGGTTTGGTTTGGTTTACTGTGTGCCAGGCACTGTAGTAAGTAGCACAAGTAGCTCATGGTCTAGTGAAAAGACAGACAAGGAAACAGGCCATTACAATTCACTCGAGCTGGGAAATCTAACTCAACCTATTTTCTAAACCTGCACAAACTATTAGAGACACCAAGTTCTTTATATTTCTATCTGCTGTGTACAATTCCTTGTACTTGTACTAAGTTTGCCTTTTTCATCATTCAAAGGATGCTCTCTAATTCTAGCTGAAATTCTGCCTGCTTCTGAGCTTTTATTGTTGGAATAGCAGCAATAGCTAATATTTGTTAATTGCTTACTCATCGCTGGCATCCTGCTAAGCACTTTGCGCGTATTATCTCATTTATTTATAGCAACAATCCTATTGTTGAAGAAAATACTATTATTATTATCCCCATTTTACCAACAAAGAAGCCAACATTCAGAGAGGCTAGGTAAACTGCTCGAGGTTATACAACTGGTCAGTGTCAGGCCCAGGATTTGAACACAGGCTGGCTGAGTAGATCCTGTGCATATCCTCTTCTGCCTCCCACCACTAATTCTGAGTTCACTGCACTGCCTTTCTCAGACTCCAGTCACCTATCTAGCAACTGTAATTTTGGCTTCTAGAATGTTCTTATTATACTTTTCAAGTGTGAACTCTTCCCCTACCCTGACTGATAGCATGCCTATGTCTGTATGCCTTCTGAGATCAGAGACACTACTTCAGCCTGTACCTCTTTAGTTACTATGTCTTGGAAAGGTCGTAGAAAGTCAAGATCTGTTCTCGCAGACTTACAGGTCTGGAATCTGGATCATCAGTATATCCATCTAAAGTCACAGAACACTGATTAGTTTATTTTTCAAATGATCGGGCATCTTCTTTCCTGGACAGACCTGGAAACACAGATAAGTTCTTATTGTTCAATTCTCCTTTTCCTCCTTTTCCTAGACCCAATGAAGGCCACCCCCTACCAGTTTTTACTTCTCTTTCACTGAGAGGATAAATGAGGTGAGATATGTAATGTGTTGTTTGTTTGTGTTTCCTATAAGCTTGTGAACACCTGGGAAACAAGGA